TATTTTTTAATCTAAAACAAAGCATGTCAACTATTGAATTTAATTAGGCCTACAGTAAGTCTCATCTTCATCTGTTTTGTTGCATTCCTCAAATTCTGGCCTAGGCCACCTGGGCCTGGCCTAGGCCTACGTGGGCCTAGTAAAAAAAAAATCGCGTCAGCTAGCCTTGGGCCTAGGCCTGCTCGACTTACTTAGGCCTTTTGGTTTTTAATAGCTTTCACGAATACGGCAACCCCACCCCCGGGAAAACGGGGGAGGGGGTGTGGCACCCCACCCCCGGGAAAACGCGGAATGATCGTCGACCGGCACTTCAAAAAGCTGGTGACATCCCTGACTGTACACGACATCACACCTTTCCTAACTGTTAAGTGAACATAACAAAAAAGGTCTATGATAATGCATACAACTAACTCTAACTTTAAATGTTTTTCTTATGCTCAATACACATAACAACACTATTGTCAAGTGGGCTATTGCATCATTGATGCTCTCGTTTTTCTATTAGGTTTTCATCTGACCATCTTTACATATTATGTTTAACCTTCTTTATCATTTCAATCAAATTTAAATGTTCATTTTTTAACCTGACTTTCTGCTTTCTCTGTTTAGTACCTGTAGCATTGTTTCCATTTATTCTGAACCCAGATGATTCTGGAAGTTGACTTTCTTCATGTTTTTTACCAACCTTCTTGTGATTATTTTTCGTTTTGTATATGTGTGTGAGTACTGTAAGCTAATTGGACAGTAATTTTTTCAAGTCTTTGGTTTCACCTGTCTTTAGGGACCTAGCCAGGATTTTTGAAGTGGGGGGAGCCCTTATGCAAGGTACGTAGGACCCCGTCGGTGGGGATGTCCCAGCCCACGAAGTTAGGAAACAATTAGGTCGGCAAAAATTTGCTGACCTTAAATTCTCCGAGGTCGGCAGCCTCAGCAATTTTTTGCTACCTTGACCTTAAACTACGATTTTTCCGAATGCTCGAACTTACATCGTCATCTACAGATTGTGATTTTGTTAATTTCTCTATATAAAATCAATATATTGCTGGTGAAAGAATGGTCGTATTTGTATTAATTTAATAGTGTAGTATAATACATATGTTTTACATAAGAAAAAACAAATTTATGCATTCTCGCCTCATCAGCAGGCTTACTCTGAGTCAGTTGTCAACTCGATGGAGTTTTATGTTATACCCAGGAAGACCGCAATCTGTTTTGAAAGGTGGAGGGAGGGGGGTTGGGGACATTTCGTGAGTCGACATCCACATCACCATTGTTGGGGCTGAGGTACGAAAATTTGAGGGAATAGTACGGTAACCTCTAGATGACCAGAACATGACATTTTTAGTAAAATTCATCATCATCACATCATCATTATATATACTCAGTATGAAGTGCCAATAAATTTCTCATGATCTTTTACCAGGGATTTTAGGCAACCATAGAGATATTAGTAATATGTGTGATGTACCATAGAAACTAAAGCTTAAAATCATTGTTCTTATGTACTTTACATACTTCAACTACTTCAGCCCAGGGGTGGCGCAGGATTTGCCGAAGGTCCCCGATGGGGGGGGTATTTCCTCGATGAAAGCAATGTGGGCGTGGTTGAGCTTCAATTAGAACGTTTTGAATGCGGTCCAGGAGGCGAAGCCCTGAAAATCATAACAATTTATGGGTTTCAAAGGCTTATTTAATCGATTTTAGAGTCTACTAATATGTAGAAAATACATATAATTTTTTTCTCCCCGACGAATTTTTCTTTTTCTCCCCGACTGGGAGGCCAGCTCTCCCCGACGAGGGCTGTGGCCCCCGGCTTCCCTGCTGGTAAGAAAGTTTGAGGAAATAGTACCTGTAGATGGTCGGAAATGACACTTATATATAGCAAAATTCATCATCAAAAAATTTCTCATGATCTTTTATCAGGGATCTACTTAATATCCAAGACAACTTAGTCCTAACTATAGCTTACTAAGCTTAAAATATACTATAATACTTGTGATCAACAAATCACAATTTACATTTTCGCCTTTAGCACAAATTTCTTCGCTTTTTAATATTTTATATCTTTTTTATCTTTTATCACCATCGTCATCATGATCGTTGTCATCATCATCATAATTATCATTATTATTACTACTAGTAGTCATGTAGCATTAAAACAAAACTTTATAGAGTTTGCAAAAGGATAAAAACCAAACTGAAATACAGTATATCACATTTCTGTATCTGAAAAACCTGGCCTGGGATTTATAGATTTAAGATTTTTTAAAATCACGCTTAGGCCTATGTGTTGTTATAGTAGGCCTATCTATGTATAACGTGTGCTGATGCATATTTACATAGATTGGAAGTATTAATTTTGAGTGATCCCTGGAAAATAATTTGTATTTGCTAGCAAGAACAAGCTTTAAAATTTTAACACTGTGTACAAAGGGGGGGGGGGGGAGCCGTGGTTCCCTCTGTATACGTCCCTGCCTGTCTTATGGTGGGCCATTTCTTTAGTGTTTTTCCAGCTTGATGGTACCATTTTGCAGGCATTTTGTGAAAAGTTTACAAAACATTTGTCTCATTGTTACTTCCCAATTTAAGTACTGTACTTCTGTAATATTATTTCCGGTTTTTCATTGATTTTAGATACTGCCTCCACTTAATATTCTCCTACCTCTTCATTCCATTTTGAATTGTTTCTGTTCAGTGTATAGCTGTGGATAAAATTCTTCTATTCTTTTTATTATTTTGTATCTGTGATGAAGTTACCAATCTTCATCTTTGACAAAACATTAAAATTCACAATTGGATATTAGCTTTCATGATGATGTTATCACAAAATATATGATACATTGGTGTAGGAAGCTGGTGATTGATATATTTGAACATAAAACAAGCTACCTGCACCTTGTTGCATAAATAGTGCCAGTCCCGATTTTTAATTTGAATAATGAAATATTTATAACACATTCTAAATGGAACAAGAATATAGTATGAATTACTAGAGATACCATTTTTAAGAACAAAAAATAAAAGATATTAAATGATAAGATGGCAGTTGTGACATAGAGATCAAGTGATGCCTACATATTTTATTTTAATAGAGGAAATAGACACAAAAACAGAGTCATCCTCTGCAACTGTTGAAGGAACATCTAAATCATTGTCAAAAGGTCATCATGGAGAACATGATATTGGATCAGGTCATGGTGAGTTTGAAATAATTTGATCAGTGATTTTTTTAATATTAAAAACTTAACATATTGATGATTTTTAACCCACTCTCTGAGGGAGAGGGCTTGTACTATGATTTTGAACGAATTTTGAAGTCATTTCTTTTTCTATCAGGGCCTTCATTTGTGACATGATTAGGCTAATCTTGCAATAATATAGAAGAGAAGGTTTGGGAAATTCAAAGTATGAAGAGTTTTTGCAAAAATATTGTCGGAAAATATGTGAAATTGCATGTTTTTATATCATATCTCTTACCATTTGAATGGGTTTCTTAAGAAAGCGTGTTCATCACTGGTCAGATTGCAAATCGCCTCTATAGGCCATATTTTGTATATCGACCAATCACAAAAGTTGGACTGCAATATTATTTACACTCTATTTTCCGGTATTATTAGGCCAGAAAACTCGGAAACTGGGGTTTTTACATTTCGTAATTATTACCATGGGGTCCATTCAATTAACATTTTTGGGCCATTTCCAAAATGTTCCTTGAGGCCAGACGATGCTAAATCCGGCACTGGGAAGTTGAACCACATAGACTGGTTGGGTAATACGTGTAGTAGATCAGACACTACAGAAAATGTAAGTATCTTTTATGGATTCAAAATATATGGAAAACTTTGTGGCATTTTTTGGCATTTGGCTTGTGAGGTCCTTAAGTATGTTGGGTGCAGCACTTCGTGTCTGTAAAGAAAGGTGCATTATAAATGACTAGATTGGATTGGATATCTTCTTCTAAATAAAAAAAAAAGATCATGCCCATTTCGTATTCTACAAGGAACAGAAAGCATTTTTTCATTTCAAAAGTGCGTATGCAAAGTGTATAGGGTGATTGAATTAAGTATCATAGAAATAGATAATATTTACTTTCAAATTCCGTGCGAACCCGTAGGAAAAATTTCTATATTTGAAAACAGTGCCCGAATTTATAAATTTGGGAATCGGACGGCAGGGAATCACTGCTGGAGCCACCACTGCTTGGGGGTACAAAACTGCGTGGGGGTAGTAACAAACGCAATTGTGGCCAGGAGTCCCTCATCCGCATAGAAAATTTTAAAATATAGAAATATTTTATAAATAAATCAAATAATGTTATGGAAGGCAAATTATTTTTTCCTTCTTGATCTGACGACCATGTGCCGTGGGGTGGGGGGGGAAGGGAGAAGCTGGTGCCACTACTGCTAGGGTGCTAAAGTCCACGGCAAGTGGGGGAGGGGGTGCTAACAGACGATTGTGGGAAAATTATTTATATATTTGTTTTTTGATCCGACGACTATTGGCGTCGGACACCAGGGGATTCCTGCTGGTGCCACCACTGGTCATGGGGGTACAAAACCCTGCAGGGTGGTAACAAACACCATTGTGACTAGGAATCCCCCTCCCACCACACTCCGCATGAAAACAATACTATATTGAATTGAAATATCTGAAACAACTCAATTTGGTGTCCGTGTTTAAAACGACGGAGATAGGTTAGACTGCTACAAAAATTTTACCAACAATATGCAACCATGCATAACCTGAGAGATTAACATATGAAACAAGAAAAACTACCGACACCAGTTCCCCCCCCCCCTTCCAAAAAAAAGAAGAAAAACCACAATATCGTAGGGGAGAAAAAAAATTATATGTACTGTATTTTCTACATATTAGTAGACTTTCTGTAGAGTCGATTAAATAAGCCTCTGAAACCCCTAAAATGTTATTTTTTAGGGGGCTCCACCCCACTGGACAACTTTAAAACATTTTAATCGACGTCCGACCACGCCCACTTTGCTCTCGTCGGGGACCATGCGCTCCCAAAATTGTACCTTCCCCCTCCCAGATTTCCTCTAGTTGCCAGTAGTGCTTATGTCGACTTTCACTTGCAATCGCGCAATTATAAGCAACTAATTAGCCCAGATTGCTTATGTTGCCTCCGAATAACTAAAATCAAAGAGGTAAATCCTGGAAAATAGTTTATCATTTCCCTTCAATTTTAAAACAATGCTTGTTTAATTTAGATAATAATATTCTTTGAACTTAAATTTGCTGGTTGTGTTAACTAAATGTTTTCTCTGGGGTAGGATTTGAATCACAACCTCAAGATTTTCAGCTTCATTATAGACAATTTTAGTGAAGCTGACTCATAAATTTTACATTTCTTATGGCCTGCTATAATGCTAAGATGTATAAACAATGACTAAACCATGTTCTAAAGACATAAAAGCATAGATGATATTAAATTTTTTTGGTGCATCACATCTGACAAAAATACAAACCTTAAGCAGAGTGGGCTAGTGCATCATTGATGCTCTTGTTTCACTTTTATAGCCAAAATGGGTCAGAAATTACATTGATTTTGTTTTTGTCTTGTAAATGGTATGGTATAGCTTGGATTCTTCTTTTTTGAAGTTTGTAATGTAATAATGTTAAAGTTGTAATTCAGAGAGTTTTATATTACCTTGTACTATCTCCTATATATGACTGCTGTATTATTTTTTAGAAATGCAAATTCCATTTAAATAATTTAATCAACTGTCCAATTCAAATTCCAAGATCATCACCAACATTTCTTCATTTGACCATGAAAAATTATCCTGCAAAGTTTCATTTTTATCTATTTATATCTGGGACGTAAGCAATTTAAATGACCCAACACATAATATTATGTTCCTTGTAACTTGGTTAAACTTATCCCGAATGTTTCATTCTGATAAGTTGATCCGTTTTTGAATATCCAGTCATTTACAGTGTATATCATAAAAACATAGATATTCTATTTTTTTGGTGAATCACATCAGACAAAAGTACAAACCTTAGTGGGCTAGTGCATCATTGATGCTCTTGTTTTACTTTAGTGTAGCCCAAATGGGTCAGAAATTTGTAGATTGTGATAGTATGTGTATTTTTATGTACATTGTTTTTGTTTTTGTCTGTGTAAATGGTATGGTATAGATG